AAAAATTGACGTTTCAAGAGTATCTTGTCGAACCTGATCCAGGGCACTGCTGACGTCGTCGAGGTCCCATGGTAATAGGAGTTGCCGCCTGTCGTCATCATCCTCTTGCGGTGGCTGCAACGACCCAGAGAGAGATGGAGACGATGTAGTACCTGGTTCGCAACAATGCTTGGTGCGTGGAGAGAAAAGGTCGCCGCATGTGCCACATGCGGCGTAACCAGGTGCCTGGCTGCTCGAGCGCAAGGATCCAGGAGGAGACAAACTGAGTAGTAGCTCTTTTCCTCGACCTTTATGCTGACGTTTTTGGTGTGTAGCCAGATTCCTCGCCGTCAGGTTCGTTGATCCTTCGCTGATGCAGAGGGGACATGAATACCGTACTTCCGTTGGGCATCGTGGCGCAGGTCCTGGTACGGGTGATGGTGGTGCCAAATCTTGGTTCATGACACCACTCATTGCCGATGCGACTGGAGGCTCCAGTGCAAAGCGATTCCACGCCAGTCCATCAGTATACTGCTGCTGCTGCTACAACCTTCCACCACGCTACTGAGCGTGCGTGGTGGAAGTGGTGATCTCACACGAATTGGCCAAGGGAGAAGTGTGTGTGTGTGAATGTTTCTCCACCTGCACTATTGCGGGGCACCGCGGTGCCCAACCTGCACTATATCGGGTATCTGCCTCAATAGTGCAGATCCTGCACTATTGAGGGCGCCGTCTGTGCGCAGAGATTTTACCTGCATTATTGAGGGCGGTTGCACTATTCAAAGTGCACTATAGGGGGCCCACTACTGCATGTACATACCATCCAACAACAAATACGCCATGCCCGCGAAGCTCTTGCACACCGCACACCAAAAAATGTCTTACTTACAGCAACAACTACAACATTACAAGCGATGCTTCTCTCAGCCAGAAGCGACGGATGGATCAGGGGGAAATAAGAGAAGATTGATTGCGTCTGTGTGTAGCATATGGTATGCAGAAGAGGAGGTAGACTATAAATCGACCCACAGGAATGTATGCACATGACGAGATCATAGAAAATTGAAACTTCACAGCCAAGCCACCTGCCACATGCGGAGCGCGCAGCTTGGGACTGCTGCGCTGCTGCTGCTGCTGCTGCTGCTGCTGCTGCTGCTGCTGCTGCTTAAAACATAACGCCAGCGTTGTACCCCACACAAAAACTAATATATTTTACTGTACCTGTTTCGTGAAAAAATGATCGTGAGTACAGCGCCTTATTAACTCTGTTCTGCAAGTACAGTATTTACAGTACAGTATTGTTGGGTCTAGTTATATGGGTTACTCCGTGATACCCATTTAGTAGATACTTCTGTATATAGTCTCCTCGCTACAGTCTCCAAACGGCATTCATTTCATGACCTACCGTTTTGATCTCCGACACGTCGATGAACCCAAACGGCTTGATTGCTGGAGATATCGTTCGAGGTAGCCGGGGGCGAGTGTTCTTCGCTTTTTCTACATGCGCCGCTGCGAATTACTGCCCTGTAGCGTTGATTTGAGTCGTTACTTGGTGGCCTTTGCAGCCCAATGACTAATCCAAAATTCTACTCGAACTGTACTCCGAAGCTGTGTTGACTGTTTTATTGATATAGCCACTCCTAGAAAACGGTCGTTGACCAACCAGAGAGCTGAAAAAAGGGGCTGTTACAGCAACAAACCGTTCGTGATGACCCACAACTTTGGAGTCAGATGCAGAGCCACGGCAAAAAGAGAACGTGGGTGCGAACTGTGCCGAAATCCTCGCAATTATCGTTGCACGCTGCAGTTTTCACCAGGAATAGCAACGGCGTATTAACAACGTAGATTGGGATCCCCGCCCAGGAGAGTAGTGTAGGCCATTCTTTGTTTGGTACGATTGTTTTCGTCCTCGGGCTGCAACGTCGGTGATACGACACCAGAAATTGTACTCAAATTCGGTGCAAGCTCGGAAGAAGACTCCTTTTCGGACCCTTGACCGTGTTGGCACGTTTTCGCTGTTTGCACCTGACTTAAGCTTAAAACCTGTTTTCTGCCTTGCCTTTTGTGTACGAAACAAGGAATTGGTGAATGTGACCAATGCATGACACGTGGGTTAAACAGGTCACGGTTGTTTCCCTCAATCATGCCACCACCATGCACACGCTCGCTTCGGTCTACATGAACATCTCTCCACTGCTGCGCACGCGAACGCAATGGCAAGAAGATGCAGGTATGAAGAGTACGAGAAGGACCGAGCGACAACCGTTATCGTCACGCACGCGGCGGTGCATGTGGACTACGCAGTCGGAGGACTGCTGGGAACCGGGGGCTTCGGCCTGGTCAAGGAAGGGGTAAGGCCGTCATTTCTCAACCACCGAGAGTGTGTACATTACGAGGTTGGGAGCTTTCAATAGCACACGTGTTGTATGAGCAACATTTTGATTTTCTTCGGTATGACTGCAGAAAATTTCCACCGCATACCTGAGTCAGCTGTGAAACACAAAATTGTGGCGCCGTTCCCTTTCGCCGTGCTCCTTGCTATGAAAACGGATGTGTGTCGGTAGTTCAAAATCTTGTCCGCTTTGTCTCTCCGTCCGTCTCTTTCCCTGTTTCATTGTTGTCGGTCTTTCTCCCTCACTCGCCCACATACTCGCTTGCTATTGCTTCGTTTCAAGCTTCACCGGCAGACTCAGTCGAAGAGTGCGCTCAAGTTCGTCTTCCGCAAGGGCCTTTCGAAGAAAGACGAGGAGCTATTCCTCATGGAGGTAAAGCTCGTACCCCTGATTATCGGGCCCTCGGGTGGTAGTGTGATTTCGGGTGTGGTATCCGGAAGTGGTATCCGCTCGTTGCATCAGCAGCATCGTTATAAAAAGTCGTGGGTGGCCCTCTATATTTCCCCCACATTCGTCAAATGTTTTCGGGGCCGCTTGGCCACCTGCGGGCATAGGGCGAATCTACTGTTGGTTCCACGGTACCGAACACTTTCCCCCAAAACCAAGCTTCAGGTGTTGGTCTACCAGGATTTATTCTGTGGTGCCAGAAATGTCTATATCAGCGCGCACGAGATGCATTCGAAACTTCACACACATGCGTCTTGGGTCTCTCGGAAAACCTTCAGCCGTTTGGGCTTTCATTTGACTTTGACGCAGGCCGGTATCCTAACGGGCCTCACGCACGCACACGTTGTGGAGATGCGGGGTTTCTACAAGTGGGAACAGGCGTACTGCCTGGCGATGGAGCGTATGGAGGGAGGGGAGCTGTGTGAGGATATCGTCCGGAGAGTGTTTTACTCCGAGGCATGCGCACGAAGGGTAAGGATATGCAATACCATAATAGGGAAGCATCACGGTAGGTTCCGGCCACTTCTCAGCCATCTAGCGTCTACACAAGATTAAGATTTCATTCCATAAATGCATCCCAGACGTTTTCTCCCTCGATCGACGACGCCCCGAACTTTGCCATGTCTTTTGAAGGTTGTGCGCCCAATTGACCGTGAACTTTCGTGGGTTTTAGAGGCAGAGGTGCTGTGCTGTCAAAATCATGCTTGGATAGCCCATCCCTGTACGTATGCCCATGTACATGAATCTTCCTACGGGTTTGCGCTGCCGGTAGGAGGGATGCAAGCAATACTTTTGCAATGATATCTACCGTGCCCCCATGTTTTTTTTCTGCCCGCTTGCAGATAATATTGCAGGTGCTGGATGCGTTAGCGTTCTTGCATCGGCGTGGGATAATACATCGCGACTTGAAACCCGAGAACCTACTGCTTGTACGACGAGGGAGCGAGTACGTGAAGGTATGTGCGGCAGAGAGAACAGTTTTTTTTTTTTCGATTTCCGTCTAACACGCTCAGGAAAACCCCCTTGCACACACTCGTATGAATACATCGGCATGCATTTCACCGATGAGATGAAACCCGTGATTCCCGCCGCACCGGCTTGTATGTATGACGATCTCTCTCTGTCGCTCTCGGCAATCGTCTCCTCAGTTGGCGGACTTTGGCTTTGCCGCGGTACTGTCCCAGCCTACTTACAAGGTGGTGGAGCCAGTTGGGAGCCCGGGGTACGCTGCGCCAGAGGTGTTGCGCGTGATGCCCTATGACGGCCAGGCGGACGTGTTCAGCCTGGGCGTGATTTCCTTTGTGCTTCTTTCTGGTGAGAGAGACTTCAACCACAGGCATTGGATGATCCCTGTTGAGGGTGCATGCCTCGTGTCAATTCATGTTGTATACACTGACCAAGCCTTTTCGCCACAATACCTAATCCAAGGCGATTCCCTACGCCACGCTGCGTCAAACTATTCTGCAAAATTTTCCTGTTGCTAGGACTTAACGATGAATCCATCCCCTCAGCGCGCCAGCATTATTGATTGGCCCATACATACCTCTTAACAAGGTCAGAGCTATTTATTTTCCGGGTGTTTCCAAAACCTGATATTCTATATTCTTCCGTATTTGTAGTACAGCCACAGACAAGAGGCGCGTGTTCCCGTTTTCGAGAAATGATTCCCGCGCGGTTTCCAGGTGCGGACGAAACATGAAGTTGAAGCGTTTGTCGAAACATCGTACATAACACTTTAGAACTAGGAACCCCTTGACGGTACGCTATTGCTGCAACTCGTCGCTACCACGTTCTGGAATGTTGCGTTGGAGTGCTTTTTCGGCGCTTGTTGCCGTTGTCTAACCAAACCATATCACGGTATGCGTACATGTATCGATGAAGATATCGTTCCGTCATTCAATACGGAACAGGTTATCTGCCGTTCGGAGGGGTGGACGATCCCCTTACGGAAATAGTGAACGCCACATTCGAGGGCAACCCACCCTTCGACGAAGTGCAGTGGTCAGCTGTCTCAGACGTGAGTATTGAAAGGTGTCGGTTGATGTCCGGTCAAAGGGAGGGTCTTGGCGGTCTTGATGCAGCAGGATTGGTTGTCTGCCGTGCCGTGCTGAGCGTTGCCGTGCACGGCTGCTGTTGCTGCCCTTTCGTTGTGGATGGTTCTGCTTCGCTCGTAAATGTCGGTATAAGCTTACCAACCGAATTTATCTTCCGGGGTGAACGGAGAAAGTCCCAGCCGACCTGACACCCGTTGGGGATGTTTCTTTCGACTGCCGTGTGCCGATGCATCACTGGAGAACAGGAAGCTAGAGATTTCGTCGAAGCGTTGCTGAGTCCAAGCCCAAGTGATCGCCCTACGGCGGAAAAGGCGATATTCCACCCTTGGATGAAGGTTCAGGGGAACACGCTGCTATCGCGCTCTCTCAGTGACCGGCGATTTGGCGAAAACAAGGTAGGTACTGACGCGAAATTTACAGGGCACCGAATCCGCGGAGTGCATCACCAACTGAAGTATCTACATCTGGTGTTTTGTCTTGAAATGAATGGTTGCGTTGATGGACCATTCTTTTCTTTTCAGGAATGCTCTCCTCGGTTTGTCGATTGGGAAGACGTCAAATATCGTGCATCCATGTCGGCCTTCGACGTTTGGCGTTCGTTCGTAGCATGCTGCCTTCAGTGTTACCTGGACAACGAAATTGATCAAACGCTCCAAGATATCTCGACGTAGATGGGCGGACCCCCCGTACCTCGCTACGATAAAAACACAACGACACTTTCACTCGGAAGGGTTCTTGTGCTACGGGTTACCAATGTAAAGGCGCCAGTCTCATAGCGGGATAAAAACGCGAAAACGTTGATTGCTGTGTGTATGATTTTGTGGTTGTTCTTTCAGCCCCTTTTAGAGGAGTTCCAGGGTCTGCAGAGGAGGAGACTCAAGGCTGCGGTAGGAGCAGTGGTTGCAGCCAATCGCCTCCACAAATTTCTCGCGGCGGGACATAAGGACCATGGCGACGAATCCGCCGGTCGCCAAGGAGGTGGGAAGGAAGAGGAAAAGCCAGCACAGCCCGAAGAGCCAATGGAAACACGATATATCAAGAGGGTAGACGGAGAGAGAGCGTTGTATGGCATTCGATAACATTTGGTTGGCATCTCAAGGTTAGAAGGGACATGCCGAGGAAGGCAAGCAATTCCGAGGGGGCAGCAGGATTTGGATGCACGTCGCGTTGGATACCTGAGTTGAGCAAGCGACATGCCTAAGTGCTGTGCGGAGTCGTGCCATCCTACCATACCACGGCCTTGACAGGAAAGGATAATTCCGAAGGGTGGGTTGCACACGCGCATGCCACTTAGCGTACTTAACAATATCTTCCGTTGGTCGCGTGGTGCCACCAAAGAGTGCATTTTGCGCAATAGCTACCCTGGACGCTGGTTGTGTGCGTATCGTGCGGCGAACATCGCGTCGTAGGCGTTGCAGTTGTACTACATAGGGCGGGGTAATGAGCCGCGGGGTAGCGACTCAATACCTTGCAGTAGCCTTATCGGCGATGCTGATGGTGCACGAATCCCGACAAACAGCAGCGTGAATCATTTGTAGTGACCTACGCGTGCACCAGACGGAGGCGTGCGACGGGATGAGCGACGATGGTTGCGCGGCCCCCGTTCAAAAGTTTTGCAATTTACATGCGGTTGTTTATTTTCCGTTGATGCACATGCACACCCTACGAAGAAACAAAATGTGAAGTCTTTCCGCTGTGAGGGAAGAAACACGCACATCTGGGCATCTGGAAGAGAGAGTCCCAGCAGCAGCAGCAGCAGGCAGGGCACGGCTTTTTATGCGAAGTCAGTCAGTAGCATGGCGCAAGTACGCAACCTAAACCGATCCCGGGGGGAACCATCCTGACAACGCACAGCAGCAGTAGACCCTGACGCCCTCGACGGTTTCTCTCGATGGTATGTGTGATCGGGAGTTGGGAAGGTGTGTGATGTTGTGTGTTCGTTTGTGATCATCGGTCTGCTGTTTGTGGAGCCGTCGGTTGGACCCACTCAACATCACTAAACACCTGGCAGGTTACACATGGCGCATGACTGTACCCACGATGCACAGGTCGTGTAGGCCCGGCCCTTCTGGTTTTCATTGCTGGTCTCGGATCAGCATCCAGCGGTGATGTGATTTTTGGTGGTGTTCTAATCTCTGTCTGTCTCGGTGTCTTCTCCTGGTTTCAATTGCGCGCGCACGTGATCTCCGCTTTTTTGCACGCCTTTTCGCGGAGAAACCCTGGGGTTGGGGAGCAAGACCTCCTACGAATATTGGGCACAAACGCTCGTGTAGCACGGCCATCTGCTTTTGGAGCACGACTAAACCGGTGTGACGCAGAGAGCGCTATTTGTCTTCTTCCTCAGAAGCGAGCAGATCGTCAATCGGTGCCCTGTATATGTCGCTCTGGTCCCAAAAGGGGGTTATATCGGCTTCACGGAAATCAAGTTTTGGGGTCCCTGTATCGTGCGGTGCAACTTTGGCCGATATATAGAGCCTTTTTTTCCCTCCTGGGGACGAAGGAGTCGCGCTTCGCGCTCCGCGGCTGATAACAGTTGATTGTTCTTGCCGTGGCGTTGTGATGAAGACATTCACACGTCCAGCTGCATTTCCCACCTCACGGACGGAGGTACTTCAGAGGCAGGTGGCTTGAATATTTTTTCCGATTCAGCCTTAATTCACGATTGGTGTCCTTCCGTTTGTGCCAAGTGGTCACTTCGCTTTACACCAGTAAAATGGTGTGGGAAACCTGACATTGCTTGCCGTCGAGAAATATGTGCGCGCGCGCACCTGACGTTGTAGCTCGCGGCGAGGGCATTCGCGGGGGGGCAAAGGACTCATGTCGTGCAAGTGTTTTTTCGTGGCAATCGCTCTGCACTGGCTATAATACCATGATACCAGTTCGTTTCTTCCTCTCAAATTGTCCGGCAGACCAAAGGAGGCAGGGCGGCTACCCAAACAAGATAAACACTGAAATACTTGAGCAGACTCGACTTCGAGGTGCAGTACCCAGCAGGTGTTGCTCAACTCTCATTGCGTTTGACGATGAGCTTTTCCCGTCTTTTTTCTTACGACACAACACATCCATCTCATCCTTCAAACAAGACACACCAAAGACGAACTTGGCTAGTACCAACAAAGGATTCATGGCACAGGAGACGCGAGATACACGCTAAAAAGAGTCCACCGGAGTTTCCTGAAGTCCCAAGAACTACGCAGACTGGCTCCTATCTTTACCACTGCGCGCACTATCCACTGCAGCTTTTCAAGGCCTGAAAGAAATCAAGCCGGCCTTGGCCATGAGCTGCAGCTTGGGTCCAAACTCCGGGTGACGTATGTACCGCGCCAGCTCTTGGGGGTTTCCACACTCCTGCAGCACTCTCTGCATACCTGGGTCCATGAGCAGTTCTCTCAGCTCCGGCTGCTGAAGGACCCTCTCTACGGTAGCGGTTTCCTCCGCCGTCGCAGGCGTCGCCGCCACGCCGACCCCTTCCGCCGCCCGTCGCAGCGCCTCCTGGGCCAGCGGCCCGTCTGCTACCCTCTTGCGGTCCGCCTCCTCCGCCGCCGCCTTCTCGTCGGCCGCCTCCCCCATGGCCGTGAAATGTTTCGAGAGCAGGGACATGAGCTCGATGAAGCTCTCTCGGGCCTCGGTGCTGGATTCGAACATCCCGAGGGCATCCTTCGGGGAGGTAGGCATGAGCTGCATGGCTTTGGAGAAGCGTGGGTCGGTCAGCATCGCCGCCAGCAGCGGCTTCTCGGAGATTTTTTGGAGCAATTCGGGCGTTAACCATTCCTGCCCCCCCCCGCCACCGCTGGCTCCACCGAGGGGGTTCGATGCGGAGTGCTTCATCGCTTCCTGCACCTCGGGCAGGAGAAGGCTGTCACTGGTGGTGCTACTGGCTTCGGCGGACACATCGAACTCAAGTCCTCCTGACGACGCCTTTCGACCGGTGATGACGGGTATGCTCCTCTTCACTTCAGCAGGAGGGGGGGCACCGCTCGTGCTGTCTTTTCCTCTTTGTCTTCTCCTCCCCCCGTTTAGTTTATTTGGTGCTGCTGAGGAGACAGCAGTAGTGGGAGCGGGACGTGACAGGAATCCCTTCTTCAGCCCGCCCCCGAAGGTTTGCTTAGCATCTCTCGACTGTTCGAGCCGCTGCTCTTGAGATTTCACCTCCTTGGCCGCCATTGCCTCTGCCATCATCTGCTCCATCAAGCTCGGCCCCTCCTGTTTCCTCTCCTCATCGAGTGCCCCCCAATCCGGCCTTTCTCTCGAGGCTACACCTGCGCCGCCCTTGCTCCCCTGTTTACCTAGCTTCAGCATTGTGAGCCTGTCAGCGAGGTTAGATTTTCCGTCCTCCGGGATAACAAGCTTCTCTCTCTTGCTCCCATGACGAGGCGCATCTCCACAGGCTTCAGCGGTGGCTGCATCAGATCCCAAGACACGTTCTACCATAATCCTTAGACTCGAAGTTGATACGGCTGCACACACGGCGGTGGCTTTATGAGTAGGTACCGACAGGTGCTTTCCTGCTTCTCGTCATCGATTTCTCGTGTGGAGCGTCCGTTCCGTCCTGCGTCCGGTCTGTCCTGCGTCTGTTCCTGTCGAAAATCGCACCGCACAACCGATCTACGGAGATCTTGGAGATCGAAAAATGATTTGAAAATTAGGAACAACCAGGGTCTCGGGACCTAGGGCACCCCTTGCGTGTGTACGAAATGGTAACGTGCGAACAAGACATGCATAGAAACGCTGTGAAAGCTCGTGATTACCTCCGCTTGATGCGGCAATCGTACTCAGGCGGAGCGCGGTGTTCCCAACAGCATCGGGGCGTGAGTTGGTGTATCTATGGACCCTCCAACATCCCATCATCTTCCCGATATCATGAAGTAGTGTAGTAGAGCCTTGCGCCTGCGCAGTACTTCGCGGTGCATCGGGGCTGTGGTTATTCTCATGGCGGAACATGATATCGCATCGTCTTCACCTGGCAGCGTTTCGACCAAATGGGCAACTGGCACTGACCACCTGGGGGTGACCGAGGGGTTGTCTGGCTCGGTCATTACCTCCCCTTCGGCGAATCATGCCGAAGGTGCGCAAGAAGGATCAGTTGGTGCAGCAGCCACGGACTCAAAGCGCCGATACTCGATTGACTCGATGCGGGAAAAGCCGTGCCATGCTGGTGAAATGAATGAAGTGGTACGAGGACCGTTGGGGGGCGATGATGCAGTGAGCGCCAGCAGGGACAAAGTCGAAGATATCCCAGCTGAATACATAGAACAACTGTCACCACCACCTGATGAAGCAGTCCCCGACTACCCGGAACAAGCATCGGTACCAGCTGATGCATTTCCGGTAAGTTTGCCGATGCGGGAGGAAGCAAACGGAAGCTCGCTGCTTCTGATCGCCGATACATTATACCCATCCCAGGAATCATCCGCTGCACAGGACCAAGCGCATCAACCAAAGCAGCATCACCTCCTTCAACAAGCTTCGTCGGACCCAGTCATGGAGACAAGAAAAATGGACGGCACCAACACAGCAGCAGCAGCATCGGCAGCGGCAGCAGCAGCAGCAGCAGCAGCAGCCCATCTGACGGTGGAAACTCAGTCGCTTCAGAGGTTGTCGTCGCTGGAGCTAGCAGCAGAAGGAGTCGAAGACGAAAAAGAGGACGGCGGCTACCGAGACAATTACCTGGGTGACGGGGAGGGGGGACGGGGTGAGGCAGCCCTAGAAAATAGACTGCTGTCCAGCGAAGGGCAGGGGGAGCCAGAGAAGGAAGATGACAAGAGGGAGGAAAGACAGCAGGAAACGACGGAGAGGACGCACAGGGGAAGGCAAGGGAGCAGAAGCGAGGCGGGGGAACACGAGTGGACAACGGACCCGATGAGGGGCGAAGCGCAAGGCGGGGGAGTGGGGACGAGCAGAGATCCTGCTGACGAGGCCAAGCAAGAGACGGCAACAACGTTGGGGGAAAGCGCACAACGGCCGGCCGTGGACCACAAAAGATCACAGTCGCTGACGGATGATAACTTTTCTTGTAAACTCTTAGTGTCAACAGGGATGGCAGCAGCAGGGCAGGTGTTGGCGGACTCTCCGTCGAACGAAGGGGCGGAACGGCGAGAGTGCTCCGGACCGAGGCTCGATGGAGATAATGACCATCTCACGCAGACACAAGCTCCAGCGTTACCGCCCGTCGAGTCAAACACAGAGCTGAGTGGCGACGCCACAACACTGCCGTTAGAGACGACGCGACAAGCAGCAGGAGCAAGGGCGGTCGAGGCGTTTGAACCCACGGGTATAGGAACACAACCAGCTCCACCGTGTCAGCGACGGGCAAGCTACATGCGAGGGCAAGCCCTGAGGCCAGGACGTTCGGCGGCAAGAGCTAGCGTTCAGCTAGCGCTTCCCCCAATCGTGACAGAAGGAGAACCCGCGCCTGCCAACGAGACGTCGAACGCCGACGCAGAAAGAACGGTCCACGAGGCGGCCGAGAGTGAGGTAGAAAAACCTAATCAGCCGATAGGCGGCCAAACGTGGAAGGAATACCACGCACTGCACCCCGGCAGGCAACACAGTACTGCGGATTTGGTGGCTTTTCGGCGCACGCACACCCGCCAGCTGTCTGTGGAACTCTTCGGAGAGGGTGACGATACTAGTTCTAGCAGCAGCAAATCAACCTCGGGTGGTGAAGCAGACGTTGATGAGCGAGAGGAGCGGAAGGACAAGGATCTTAACACTTCGTTGTGGCCCCAAAGCGACGAGGGCAGGTCTATGATGGAAAAACTGACGAAAGTGACCGTCGCTGTTGAATCACCTGCAACCAAGATCTCGCGCAAGTACCTCAAGCTCTTCGCCCCTTCCAACTCGGTAAGACTCTCTTGCTCTTGGCAGGACTCATTGATGCTCTAGTGCAATCAAGCAGACATGCTTGAGGCACCCGGCACGCGTAAACGTTGTGGTCTTGGCTTTGCAGCCGGACATGGCAGGAAGTCATGGCACAGTTGATATCTCGTCTGCCGTCTACAACCGTGTTCTGCCCTACCCCTCCAGCGAATACTATCGTGCCGTGCGTCGCGTGGAAATATGTGTGTTGTGGCTGTGGCTGATACTTTCAAACCAACGAGCCAGGGCTGAGGACAAATTCACCAGCTATTCCCTGTGTTGGGGTGATGTGAAAAGCGCAGCTGCGCACGAGCCACCTTGATACCAACCGTGCAATGCGGCTCCTTCCATAGGCAACGATATCACGCGGCATGTAGTCACTTACCCCCCATTTGTGTGTGTCTAACTGAAACAATCCTGTTCTAGGCCCACGACACCTACAAGGTGCTGGCAACCCTCCACCGACGAATGAACGGGACAGGGTGGCCACGAAGGGGGGGATGGGACTCTTATCTTGTCCGACGGTCTCGGGCGGAGCTAGACGAAGGCAGAGTCTACGGGGTCAGATCAAAGGAAGGGAGCGTTGAATATCTGATCCTGTCGTCCAACAACGTCTGCGGTCGCATCCCCCCGATCATCGCTCGACTCGAGTCTTTAAAATGCATCAACCTTTCGGACAACCACATTTCGGGGACCATTCCCGTGGAGCTCGGACTGCTCCTTCAGCTTCAGACGCTCCAGCTGCAGGGAAACAACTTGCGAGGTACATTCCCTTGTGCTGCATCGTACTTAATTCATTTTTTCTCCGACTTAACGGTTTGAAGTAGCTATATCACATATGCAGTACGTATTGGTTCCAAGCGAGGGACTACTGGCACGAACAACATATTTTTTCGTGGTCCACCGATGATGCGTGCGTGCGAGTCCCAGATAGATACCTTGGTCCCCTGTGTTACCTTGGTCACCTGTGTTTATCAACCGCAACGTTACCGCACTCGCGACAATAAAAACAATCTGGTGCATTCTTGTAGAATCGAAGCACAGCGGTGTGTGTGTGCTTCCCATGGAGTTGTGCCCAAGCGGCACGAAGCCACCTTCAACGTTTCCCTCCCTCCATCCCACATCCCATTTGCCCCTGCATGTTTTTTACCGCAAATTGATTCTCGTTCGGTTTGTTGGCCGCAGATAGCATATCTCCGCTGTTCGGCTCGCTCATCAGCTTGATTCGCCTGTCGCTCGGGCACAACAAGCTCTCGGGACCTCTTCCGGACAGCCTGGGCAACCTCCTCCACCTGGAGTACTTCTCGGCGGAGAACAACCATTTGTCCGGGGGTATCCCCAACTCTATCAGTCGCATGACGGCCCTGAAGACCTTCAACGTGTCCAACAACGAACTGAGCGGAGCTATTCCCGCCAACATCGGTTCCCTCGCCCGCCTTAAGAAGCTCGAGTTGGCGAGCAATTGGTTGTCCGGGACTATTCCGACCAGCATGGGCACTCTGTCGGCACTCAACTGGCTGCGTGTCGAGAACAACCAGCTCACGGGCCCTATCCCCGCCAGCTTCGGAGACCTGAAAGAGCTCTTGATCCTCGATTTGTCGTTCAACCGACTGTCCGGGCCGTTGCCGGCCGCGCTAGGGACTCTGCCTAATCTCACCACGGTGTGTCTCCGGGGGAACTCGCTCGAGGGGCCGTTTCAGTTCCCCGTCAAGTTTCAATTTTGGTTCTTGCGCTCGAGTGGCGCCACCGGTGGGAGTGGCATGAGAAGCCTCAACCTGGGGTCGAACGAGGTGGAAGAGCCATTTCCGGATCTGCAGGGAATGGGACAGCTGCAGTGCCTGGTGCTAGACCAGAATCGGATGTACGGCGGGCTGACGGAGAGTCTGGCGGAGACGTGCCCGAATCTCTACAGGCTGAGCCTGCAGAAGAACAGGCTGTCAGGGGAGGTGAGTGCAGTCGGCTGCCTGCAAACGACAATATGTTGTGACTCCTGGCGGATGGCTATCTGTCACGGATCGGGGCTCCAGGTAGTGCTGTATGTTGAAATCAATGTTGCGTACAGGTCGCATGCTGTGAAGAGAGGCGGGCTGTGTGGAGTGATTTGAGACATGTGGCAGCGTCCTGCCCCAGAAGTTTTTCCGCAGCTAGTCGAAGCAAGTTTTAGACCAAGACGAAAAAGCATCGACGAGCGTTGATCATCTCGCTCTCCCTGTCTTGTCGATAGGTCTGATAGGTTTGACGTGCGAGGGTCCACGGAAGATATCACCCCCTTCCCTACCTCCGTGTTCCCGCTGTTCCTGTTGCTGCGTCATCTTCCTTCCCCACGTTTGCGCATGAAAAAACGAAGATTCCGCATAGCCTGGGGGTGTTGACAAAATTGGAACATCTAGACCTGAGCGACAACTGCTTCGAGGGCGGTCTCCCGCCTTCTATGGAATCGATGCAGCTTCTCAAGACGTTCTCCGCATCAAACAACAATCTTTCAGGAGACCTCCCCTCCTTTTTGGGAACGCTGACGCTCCTGACATGCCTGGCGTTGGATGGAAACCAGTTCAGCGGGACACTGCCGCGTGAGTTTGGCAAGCTCACTCGCCTTGAGCGACTCTACTTGGAACGGAACGCAGTGGTGAGCCTAAAACAGTGTGACAGCAAGGGTGGTGTTTTATTAGCTTGGCCGTTGGAGCGAGTCAACCCAATTCGCTAGACGGTGTCATCTAGTGTTGCTTGGTTTGCGTGGAGGCAAACTTACAGTCTGCCGGTATTCGACGATGCGGGATATGCGATTCATTGTGCGAGGATCTTGGTTTTAAGTGCCTCACTGAATTCACCGATACCACTAACATGGGAACGCGTAGAAGGACGTCATTGGTAGGATGCGAAAAATAACGTGGGAAGATATCGTTATTCGGTCTGTGGCCCTCGACAAAACTCTTGGTGTAGGTGGGGTCCATTCCAGCGGAACTATCCAGGTGCCTCGCTCTGGAGGAGCTGTACTTACACGACAACAAGATGTGGGGGAAAATTCCAGATTCTCTGCGCGCTTTAAGGGGGCTGCGATACTTCTATCTGTATCGGGTAAGTCAGATCAACGGTTACGGAGGATGTGACTAGGAAGAAAAGGAACGAGTGTTTTGCTACATGTGTCGTGATCCTCCACTCCCTTGCTATTACCACCTGGGCTGGAGGGGATGGTTAATCACGTCTCCTCGGATTTCCGTCACCGCTGTTCTCGGGAGTCCTTGCCCGGAAATATTTCCGAAAATCAAACAGTCAAATTTACATGCGCGCCTTGATGTTTTCAGTCTGTGAAGGAATCAAGGTGCAAGTATCGGGTCGGAAGAGAGCTGTCGCCAATTCCCTTCCCATTCTTGACTGTGGGAATGACTCCCTTTGCTGGTGGCGAAAGGTATCTAGTGGACTGGAGCCAGTGTTTTTCGACGATTCAGCGAGGCAAAGCCTGTCTTCTGCCCGGGGGCACCAAGTGCTGCTCCTTGAATTGTCGTAGCCTAGAACCAAGTGCTGCTCCTTGATTTGCTACTCCGTGGCTTTAGACGGAACAAGGTCCGAGAAGAACAGCCCATAACCTCTTGCAGCCGATATTATTGAACTAAGGCCGGTGTCCCTGTCTTCGCCACCGAATTCAGAACAAAATCACCGGGACGGTTCCCGAGTGGCTAGGGGAGCTGTCCAGCCTGCGCGGGTTGGTTCTTGGGGAAAACCGACTGAGGGGGCACATACCGTGGCAGCTAGGACATCTTCATAAGGTACCCGTCACACAAGAGTGGCAAGATCCGCTTACCATTGTTGTGCGTTTCCGCGTACTTTTGACACGACTCAAGAGAGAGAGAGCGATTCAACCAATGCTCTACGAGTCTCGTTTACAAGCATGGACGAGTAGCATGCACCACACGCGCTGATCGAATACGGAGTAACCAATTACCTGAGTCAGCCCTGCCCGCCGGCTCAACCCAGACGCTAACTTTTTTTGCGTGTTTCAATTTTCGTCCGAATCGCTTTTCGGGGAATAAATCGTAACGATCAGCTGCAAGACTTGTACCTGAATGACAACAACCTGGACGGAAGTATCCCCGAGCGGATGGTGATGAACTGCGAGTGTCTGCAGAGGCTGTATCTAGGGGGGAACCGCCTTTCTGGCACTGTGCCGCGTTACCTGAGGCATGTACGCGATCTGCGAGAGCTTAACATCGAGAGGAACAAGTTGCACGGAGAGGTACGAGAACGACGTCCCGCGTATCTCGTTTGAGCGCTTGGAAAATAGCGGAGCCGCAATCAGCCACTCTGGGGCATAGTTTTGGGGTCAAGGTGTGCGCCACTTTGGGCGACAGCCTGTGTGTAAACGTGAACCTTGTGTTATTGTCACGGTAAAAGAAGGGAGCTTTCACCAATTCGCAAGCGACTGAAAATAGTCGGGGTTTAACCTGAAGCACCACCATACTTGACAAAGGTTACGATTCTGGAAAATGTACGATAAGTACAATAGCCTACTTCCCACCGGTCTGCGAGTGCATTGACACGTGGCTAAAATTGCGACCCCTTCGCGTGTTCTTTTTTTATCGCTCTCAACCAAGCTAGCACAACTGGACGTGGCTCCCTCTCTCGCTTCGTACAGGAACCGATCGTCATTAGCAGCCACCGAACCCCACCAAAGTAATTCCTTGTGCCGCCGCCCGCCTCGTCCCCCTTGCACCCGGTGCTTCAGATTCCTATCCCCCTCTTCCTCAAGGCTAGCCTTGGCCCTAACGCGTGTGGCTTCAAGTGGGCGGGGAACCCTCGAATAGTGGATAGCCGGCACCACTTCGCCAGTGTCGCTGGTCTTCCACGAGCCAGAGGGAATCAGGTAGACCGGGGTACGGCAACACCACCGTCAAAGGATCGACAACAGCAGCAGCACTCCACCAACTCCTCGTTCAAGCCGATACCTCTCACGCTGAGGGTTCCAGATCTTCCGGGCGACGAAGAGAACTCCCGACTGAGGGGGTCCGGCTACCAAGTAGCGGCCAAACGGGGGTTCTCGCGACAGCAGCAGGGCTTGGAGGAGTTGGACCGTAAAGTAGGGATTGGGGTGATGGAGGGAGACTACTTGTGCGGGTACGGAGACGACGGGACCGGTGCCAGCCGGCTGTGGGCCAACAGCGAAGACTTCTGTTACTTCTTGTTCAAAGTCGTCGTAGGGAACGCTTTGGTCTTGATAGACTTGGTCATCGCGGCGAGGTGAGATGTTGCCCCGACCTGTACGTAACGGTGATTCGCGGGCTCAAGAACGTTGCCAAATGTACAGCAATATGGTCTGGTAACTTCGTGCTTATTTGTCAAAGGAGCAATGTTGCGCTGAGGGGCAGAAGGGCGAATTGAAAGTTGTTAGCCATGTGGAGCAGCGGTGTATCGAAAGCCCCACGCCAAGTAGGTATATTTTACGGCATACTTGGAATGGTTTATCACTGCTTTCGAGACTGATCTACACGATGCCCAGGGCATTCATTGCTTTTCTTACCGCAGGTTTCCATGCGGATATTGGTGTTTGCAGAGCATTGTCGCTGTCATATGTGCGGCGGCAGACACAATCTCTGTTTGAAGAGGCGCAAAAGAACGATGCATTTGGTTGCGCGCATACAAGTCACCATCTGTACTGATCGCTCTTCGATTGCTCATCCGAATGGTCCGCTTATCCGGACTCGTAGATGTTTTTGATACAGGATTGCGCCCAGACGCGCCGCGCCGCCATTTTGCGTTGCTCCCTATAGAAGTTGCTGAAAGTGACGTGGAGTGCCGCCCAAATACCGCGCTTGCGCTCATTCTTCGACAAATTGTTCGCAACTACAGGCTGTACCTCATTGGGTGCATGTGGGGCTTTCTTCTGGTGATTCTCTGGAGAGTTTTGGCGGGTATGGAGGGGGTGTTGGCCACTCATCGCCTCGGGTATGGGCGTTGTTGGCTGCCGATGGCAGCGTTGGGGCTGGCGCTGACGTGGCAAGCCAGAAAATGCTTTCACCACAGTTGTGAGAGTGACCTTTTCCAGGCAAGTTTCAATTTGAAATTAGATGACCTACCGTTCTTGGTATCAAGAGACGAATCCTCGCGGCAACCCAGTCTCCCACACCCCCGACTCTTTTGCAATTTACTGGCAGGCAACCTTTGTCAAGATTGTCGTACGATCGCGACGATGAGGGCTTGAGAGGCTGACCCGTGCTGCCTGCGCCCTCGGCTAGATTCCATCTAGTTGGAAGCCACAGGGTCTCCCACGCGTGTACCGGGTGACGGCCGCACCACTGTCCATGAACACTGCCACTTTATCAGTTATGCGGGATTGATTTTTTTCGGTTTGAGCTCCTCCTCTTGCGACGGACGCTGCTTCTACCATCCAGGTGTTGCAACAAGTGGAGTGGCGCTGGCACGCCATGATACAGCTGTCCACGCAGCTTGCGGCGGCCCTGTGGTGGTGGGACCGGGGGCAAGTGGGGTATTGGTATTTGTTGGCCTCCGTGGGGATGAAGGCGCTGGTAGTGGGCGTCGTGAGCATGCAGCGACTGGACGACAGGCGTCTGGTGAGCGAGCGACGCGTTCGTTAGCTCGGCTTGCCCACCCACCGCTTGGGAAGCGGAGACTGACCGAAATAGCGCCCCGCCCTGTCGTTGTTGCTGTTGCTCCCGTTGGTGTCGTGGTTAGTTGCTGTGGTTGTTGTGGCTGCTGCTTACTGCTATCGCTGTTGCTGATATACTATGAGACTATGAGACCAACGTGAAACCTTCCCCCCCCCCCCCCCCCCCCCCCCCCCCCCCCCCCCCCCCCCCC